ATCACGGAAGGCCGAAAATCGTCCTTGAAAGCCGTCTAAGAAACCATGTTGAGATGAGGAGCCTTCTTGACAGCTGAAGTTCGTGTTGGATGTACTGTGCCATCTCTGCTGTTCTGTGGGTGAAAGTACTGTAGTAAGCTCTAGTAAGAGCCGCAAGCAACAATCTCGGTATACCCACAACGCCCAGTGATGTGTGATCTCACGTGCTCGCATGTGGGGTCTCTCCGCGCAGGCACGAGCGTGGGCGAGCCTACAGGCAACACCCTCTTCAACGGGGGTGGATCGGATCCGTGGTTAGAGGCGGGAGCTTGCAAAGTTCGGGCTCGTTTCTTGAGCGGATTCTTTCAAATCCTTTCCACGTCATGTTAGCGGGGCTGATTGTTGAAGGTGTTGGGAGGTTTGATACTTATGACGTCGGACGGAGGTACCCAAAACAAAACTACCATGTTACATGTCTGCATCCGTGATGAGGGTGTTGGCTTCTTCTGCACAGCTCTCGTATTCGCGTATTCGCAGAGCAGATCGGTTTGCTTGCTGCAGTCGCCTCACCCTGCCCGTTACATGTTGCAAGCGGTGTGGAACGCAATGTTTGCCTGTGCAATGAAGCCAATTCCAGCACTGTTCGTTTGGGCCCTGAGGGTTTTTGAGTTGGGGTGCTGGATCCCATATTTCATGATTGGATGCTGCAAGCCCTTTGCAGCATTTGCAGCCTAAAAGCCTAGAAGTTCTTGCCCAACTGTGCCCCGGGTTCCAGTCCTAGCAGGCAAACAAACGCCAAAGATCTGAATTCCAGGTGAAGTACGACTCCAGCGCCGACCCGGCCAACGAGCTTTCCTTGGAGGCAGACTGTTGGGAAACACCGTGAAGCAAGAAGGTCCATTTTCCCAAGGCCCCAAGATTAAGTTTTCATTGGGGGTTGTATTTTCACGAAAAACCGTTGCCATCTCTCCAGACGGATTTTGGCTTTGAAGCCAAGATTTTGTTTTGATGGTCCTGGTGTCTTACGATCTTATGTTTGGTTTCTGGGCCGCGGCTTCTAAGAAGTTCCGCACCCTGCAAAGTCCTCTCAACTTCTGTTGTGGTGCTTTTTTCTTGTGTGACCGAAAATCCCTTTAAAGAAAAAGTAACATCCCGGATCATTCCGGTCATACTTGCTGTTTGAAACCTCAGATGAGGGCTTATATTTAAGGGATTATATAAGGGAGTATTATAGGGGTCATCAAAGGGGATACTTGGAGTTTAGACTAGAGCTCACACACAACCTTGACTAGAATTCTGGCCGTAGCTCCAAGGCTCCAAGATCCTAAGGCCACCCAAGTGAGCGATAGTCTAAACTCCTCAAAGAGGGCTATATGAGGGACTATATAAGGGACTACTATAGGAGCTATTTAAGGGGATACTCGGAGTTTAGACTGTAGCTCAAGTGTCTTGCAGACAGGTCCCGACGGGCCTTGGCAACAGCGACGTCTTGGGGCGCACGTTGGTGATCACCGATGCTGCTGGCAAACGTATTGCTGTCGCCATTATCGAGGAGGGGCCACCAAATTTCTTTGGGTGTTTCTCAATACGGTACTACAGCCCCTGTATACTCCCTAAAGGGGCCCCCATACTTCCCTTGTAATCTCTCTATGCCCCTTGGGGTCCCTAACCCCCAACCCCCCTTCTTGAGAAACTCCCATATACCCAGTTGAAGGGTTGGGTGTCTGGGAGAGGGTGGTTGGCCTGAATCCTTTCCTTCTCCGATCCTCATCCCATCTCTACTTTGAAGAAACCACCCGACCCACCTGATCCATGATTGCATGCTGTATGGTGAGCTCCTCTTGTTTCACTCGGGTTGCAGACTCTGGCCACTGACTTCGAATCCCGGTGCACAGGGCCTTGAAGCGGTTAAGAATGTGTGATCCAAGAGGCTTATGAGGGGTTCAAGAGACGGGCGCCAGCACTTATGTGTCTGTCATCAGTCACTTAACCAATGCTGTTCTGCATCGACCGGACCTATTTCGTGTGGTACAGTATATGGTTGCAGCATGCTCGAAATGGCATGTCCCCTGTGAGCCTAGGGACTTGGAACGTATGTGACGATGCTTTATAGAGTCTTTGCTGTGTTTCAAATCATGACATAGATCGCATTCGCCAGGTCGTGGCACGTAGTCCAATGATGTACTGCTTGGCCTGTAGACGACAGACTCACAACATGATGTCAAATTCTGATGAAGATGGTCAGTAGTCATATTGCCTTTTGCACACTAGGAGCTGAGCTTTTTAATTGAAATTCCATGGTAAGCCCCAAGAGCGCAACAAGCCTCCAGCCATCTCCAGCCTGGAGGAGCCCAGCACCACGGTCTTCGTGGAGTACCCCGGCTACCCTGGCAACCTTCCCCTCACGTCTGGAGGAGTCAAGGCCTTTGCAGCTGACTTTTGAGAAGGGAGGGCGGGGGCACACATGCGCGCGGAGATTGGGGGTGGGGTGGAGCGGGGCCTGCAGGGGATTCTAGGGGCAAAGCTTGTTTGCTCGCGGCAGGATGAGTATCAGTGTCAGGTCAAACTAGGCCTGAAGGGCTTGGCAATTCTGCTTACAAAAAGACAGATGGTGATGATGGTGCAGACATGTGTAATTGCTCTGGGCAGGTGGAGTCGGACGATCAAACTCAGACGTTGAGCTGGCTTTTCACACAAGGGGTGGACCCTGGTTGCACGGGACCCTGCAGTGCCACGAACTGCTGCACTGTTGCCATCCACGAGGGCATGGACTGTTCAAGTGATGCGTCTATCGGTGGCCCCTATTGGAACAAACAGCTTGTCTCGACAAACCCTTGGCAGGATGCAAAGTATGTGATCCAGGGCTCCTTGCCGACAGCAGCGAATGACGTCTCTGTGACCTCTGGCTTTGGAGCTGCGCAGATCAACGGTCGGGCTGCGGTGGTTTATGATTCCGCTGGAGTTCGTGTAGGCTGCGCCACCATCACGGTCGCCAAGAAGCAGAAGAAGGAGCTCATCAACGGCGCCATCGACAAGCTGAACATGGCTGTGGACCAGCTCATGGATCACATCAAGGATGCCATTGAGGATTTGGCTGAGGCTGCGAACAAGAGCCACCACTACGGGGCCTCCACAGTTCCTGAGCCCTACTCATGTGACAAGGCCAATATTTGCGAGGACCTGTGCAAAGGCCAGAATGTGTTGCCAACATGCGTAAGAGACTGCAAGAAGAGGAACAACGCCCTGTTGGACATCGTGGGGATCTTCTGCGAGAAGGACGCGTGCTCGACGCCAAGCCTTGTACAGACGGGAGAGTCAAGAGAGGAAGTGGGCTTGTTGCAGAGTCGAGCGCCGCGCTTGCTAACAGAGACCTCCGTGGACGAGATGACTCCTGGGTGCCTTCCAGTCGTCAAGTACTGCCCCCAAGCTCAAACTGGCATGCTTTTTCGAACCTCTGAATGCTCAATTCAGCTGAAGTGCACTCCCTGGCCACCAATACCCGTGTGAACTTGGAGGTTGCGCGTCTTCTAAGTTAGCTGAACCTGTAACAACAGTTATGTGTAGGTCACCCTCACAGTGCGGGTCTTTCTACTTGCCAGTTTTGGGCCAGATGTACAAGTTCGACTGTAAAGAGCGACTGCGAATTCAAAGATGCCAGCTTTGTAGGACAATACTTCTGCCTCTATTCACTCCCTTCCTGGAAAATACCTCAAAGCCAGGCATGAGGTCTTCCTTGTTGTCCGCAATAGTTTGTGGCTGCCTAGGCCAGCTGTTCTGCAAACGTGGCCTGCCCCTTGACCCGAATGGGGCCGACGTCTTTCAGGCGGGCAGTTACGTCTCACTTTCTGGCTAGTTAGGGCAGTGTTAGAGCCTGGGTGTGGGATGCAGGCTTATCCTTAAGTTTGCTCCAACAAACCAACCCGCCGTCTTCCATAATTCGCACGAGGGCAAATCTCGGAACCGGTTCATGCACGGCTTCGCTGGTGTGGAATCAATTGTGTACTTGGAGGGTCAGGGAGTTGGTAAGGAAGTCAATAACCCCTATAAGCCATATATTAACCCTTCTTATCCCCATTGTCAGCCTACTTACTACGTGCCCTTACCCTAAACCCTAAACCTCATAGGGGTTCTTAACCCACGTACTAAGTCCCTCTGACCCTCTGAGTAGAACAACTGCAGAGGTCTGCAACGAGGGCTGCAAGGCCGATTTCTCGCAGTTCTTGACCCCCCTGCGGGCATACAAGGATGGCAACTGTTGCAAATGACAGAGATTGGAGCTCCTCAAGAAAAAGGACTCTTGAGCTAGCCGGCGGTTCTGGCTTGGCATGTCACTCTTGTAATTGTTTTGGCCGAATTCTTGGCACCAGCTGCCATCAAATGGCATCATGCAATTCTGAAGAAAGTCAGCGCGGTAAAAATACTCTATGCGCAGGCCCTGCTTGTATCAACATGTTCTACTTTATCCTAACGGTCCCAGCGGTTTCAGCGCGCAAAGACGTAAGCGCTGACCTTCCACGTCCGTTCTGGCTATCTGTGGAGGCACAACATGTCAGCAGAATGCTTGTCAAGTGCCCTCCGACCCATCCTTTAGCATACGTTTGTCGGCAGTCACTCAACATGTGGGCTGCTTGTAAGTACGCTGTCTTTCGCATGACACGCGCGGAAAAGGCCTCACAGCTGGATTGATCAGTATCAACGCTAGGCTTGAAGTTTCGAACCACATGCCTGCCCAGGATGCACTTGTCATGGATGCTCCGATCTCCGCTAGTCTGCCGTCTGCAGACTCTGAGCTGCAATCGCTTCAGAAGTTGTGTGCACAACCTTCCATGATATTCCACCCCAGACGGAAAGGGCATTGTTGTGCAGACTTCAGGGTTCAGCGGTATGGCCTGAGTGAGACCCCGCAAATGCATTCGGTGCTGTCTTTTGCCCAACATACAAGCTGAGGAGCCCATCATGAGCACGAGAGAACGGTTCTTGAAGACCGTCCGTCGTTTTTCCGTCGAGCCGAGCCACTCAGTGCCCCAGTTTTCTTCTGGGGTTGCCGCCACGCAGCGCTTGCGATTCCCGATGCTTATTAACAGCAACTGAGGTGCAGATCCACAGGACTGAACAGTGCTTGAGCCGAAGATCGAAGAGCGCGGAGCTTAGGTTTAGACGCCAATGGGCATGAGCGCGGTGCTCTGCCACGCTTTCCGGAGATTGTCTCTGCAGGGGATCTTGATAGGTTTGGGGTTTAGGGTTTAGGGACCCTCAGCAGCCGTTTCAAGTATCCGATGCTGCCCCCTTCAGTCTTACCTCCGACGCATTGGAAATCGAGGAGCGTTCCAAGAGTTGTTATGGGCCCTGAAAGGAAGAATACACGCATTACTCCTGAACTCGCCCACTCCAAGACCCAGTACCGTTAGCACCGAGGTATTGAATGACGGATGCTGTGGGAACTTTGAGCGCTTCCTGCATGTCTCCTGCCGCAGCCTCACTTGATAAAGTGGCTTGTCGGAAGATGCTCGGGCCGCCAGATCACCCTCACTGGAAGGGTCCTACCCGGAAGATTTTCCGGTCACTCTTGGAGGCGGCATTTGCCGTAGGAAATTTGCGCAGGTTGGCGTGAAATCAGCACTGAAGCGCATTGAGCTGCCGAAAATTGACATATTCGTGAAGTTGTTGCCGCTTCATCCGCGCTCAGTTGCGGGAATCGGGAGGAGTGACGGGCTGAGGGTCCGTCCGGCGCTTTGCAGAACCTTGGGAATGAATGGAACCCACACAAGCACAGCAGCCACCACTGTCCTGCTTCTCCTAGACTGATCTGAAACCCTGCAGCTTAAGTCTCAAGTCCTGGCTGGACTTGATTTCAAAACCAGTCTATCAACCAAAAATACATTGTTAAGTATGATGTTCGCATGCTCCCGAGAAATGGTCGCGGAAGACATAGCATCTTCATCACCAGCTGGTTTCTGTTCTTCAGAGGCTCTTATATTCAACAAATGGACTGCGGTAGAAGGCATGTGGGCTTTCTACACAGCACAATCAGACATAGGTCAGGAGTGTGTCGACCTCATGTGCCACTTTGTCTTGCAGATGTTGTCCGCCTTAAGTAGATAGAATATAAAATTGACCATTATCATAATAAGCTCCCCATATATCCCTAGCTAATTAAGCGGGACTATGGGTGCATGTGTTTTTTTCGCAATCCAATGGTGAGCCCTGACAACCCTAAACCTTAAACCCTAACACCCTAAACCTTGAACCCTAAACCTGAACCCCAGATTTTCAAGCCAATGGAGAGCCCTCCAGGCCCACATCCTGATCCCATCAAACTGCAAATCCTTTTTCATGTTCGTCTTTGGATCTGGCAACTTAGGATTTAGGGCTTAGGGCCACTTGGAGAAAGACAATGGAAACTATAATATATTGGAGGAGTACCTGCTGCATGGTCCGAGCATCCGCCACCGGTGTACAAAACAAACCTTTCAGTTTGCTTGTCGGGGCAATGTCAAATGAGTTAAGAGTGCCATCAATCGCAAGATTCCGTGTCAATGCCCAGCACCCGTGGCGCAGGATCCCGTGCCCGTGTCAATGCCCAGCGCCTGTGGAGAATATGTATGGTCTTCCTTGGACCCCAGACCGGTTGTGACACCGGAGTACAAATCCGATATACCGGATTACTTGTCAAGGCCCGTTGAAGACTGCCAGCAATTCTAGGGTCCAGGATGGCCGTGAGGCTTCATGGACTTGACTAGTTCTGGTTACTTTGTATGACATAGTCATCGGAAAATAGGGGCCAATAGATTATGGTGATAATGTTCCGATGTGCCGCCTACGAACGTTCAAGGCTCTGCACAGACGGTCCTGCGCCGAAGGGGGTACCAAGCTCTAGAGGATGTACGCGCAGCTAGGCATCTTCCCTGGCCTTCATAGAGAGGGGTCCTGCTAGTTTGCGTCGGGAATCGCAAAGCATCCCACCTTCCTGGCGCACGAACCTGTGTACGAGTCCTGCAAGTGCGATGTCAATGCTGAGCGGCGGAATGGTTTCCTCACAGCTGAAGGCGAGAATGCGGCAGTAAAATCGTTGTTAGGCGAATCTTGCACGCAACACCTTCAGTGACATCAAAGGCTGTCTGGAGGATCCAAGCTCTTTGTGAGAGCCGCCGTTGGGAAAAGTTCGCCAAGGAAGATCGGTCTGCGGGCCTAAACTTGGCTAACGGCAACAGCTTTTCGGGCTACCTCAGTGGGCTACTTAGCTGAGGGGACAGTGGCTTTAGGTTAATGGCCCTAGCACTTGTCATGGAGATATCCTCGCGTGATGCCCGTCCTGTGTTTTCCAAGTGAGCGCACTGAACCCTGCAAAGCACAACTTTCTGCTAGTCTTGAGGCCACCCTCCAGGAAGGAGGTGCAGCTGCCCGAGGCTTTGAATCCTTGCGTGGACTTTGCCGACTTTTGTGCCGTTTGCTGAGAATCAAATCTTCGGCCACGTGGCGTGCAGGCGCTTGCAAGACCTGTAACGCTTCTGCAGAAACAAATGTCTCCTCTCCCTCACAGATAGCCTGTGGGCTTCTTTTATGTTCTTGCGGGACCGCGTGATCTTTAAACTTTCTGCAGAAGGCTTTACCACCAACTCAGCTGTATGCGTTTGTATACCAACGCCGCTTTGCATTTAGCAAGGCGGACTCGGTGCTGTACTCTGCGATCCCATGGGTCTCTTACTATGCGGTTTGCTGAGGAACTCCCCTCAGAGCAAGCGTCTTGCTGAACTCCAAGGATAAGATGGATGTGGTAGTTTCCCAAAATAAGGGGACCCAATATAGACCCCAAAATACTATAGTCCTTGTTATGGGGACCCCCAAAAAGGTACCGCCAATTTTGGGAAACCCCCATGTATATATGAGCTGGAGTGCCTGGCTGCAGTCAGGGGCATTTTTGATTTGTGTGGCAAGTTACAGCATGCCGACATCACCTTCTGCCTGGGCAACGATGCAGCTGTGGGTGCCTTGACCAAAACTTATCCGATTCCCTCTTGTGAGGCACCTGCTACAGCAGCTTGCTGGATGCGAGGAATCTCAAGACCTTAGCATTTGGTTTGCAAGGATTCCAAGTGCATCCAGCCTTGCGGACTCGCCGTCCAGAAGGATACTTATCTGAAGGGTCTTCTCAAGCTTTCGTGTCGGCTTGGATCTTTCCGTCACTGAGTCAAGGCGATTCCAGGTTCCTCAAGATCTCATGGGAAAGATGTCTGACCAAGACATTGCTTGCAGGATTCCTTGCCGGAGGTTACTCAGAAAACAACTTGCAGGATTACTTGCTGGAACAGGTTGCATCATGCAAAGGTTTGAGGTGCAATGCCTGTCTGCGACTCGTACCATACCTTTGGCGACCCCACGTGTTGAAAAAAAAATCCCTCTGTCCGAGTGTTTGCGAGTGCTATGTTGCGTGTACTCACATGTCAGCAGTCATGTTTCCTAGGTGAGTTTGGTAGCACAGTAACGTGAATAAGAGGCATCATACTGATTCCAATCTCAAACCTCTCCAGTTATTCGCTGGAGCGCTGCGGTCTCTGTAGACGAAAGCTGGAATTGTAGCACGGGCATTAGCTTCAGGGTTCCTTCCAGGCTCAGAGATTCGAAGCTTGTGCAGTCGTGCTCAGCTGCTGGGACTTCGGGAGTCCTGCTTCCAGCAACACGGGACCCTGCGTAGCACATGATTTGCCCTTGTGTTTGAGATGCCTGCAAGGCTCAATTTGCTAGCTGCCGGGGCAGGGTTGAAGTTCATTTGACCAGCAGCGTTGTGTACCTGACTTTAATATGTTAAGGAGAAGAATTTCACATTGCTGGAAGATCCTCAATGCAACTTGCTCT